TATCTTAATCTTTTCTGTCAAATAAGAGAAATTCCTCATTTTCCTTGAATCTTGTTAGACAGCAAGATTAGAGGTTTTTAATAACTTACATTTTCTACTACATTTTTTTTCTTCTCAAACTGCATCTCTAAGTATCACTACCAGACCTGAACACCATTATTTGAATAGCATCCTCAGCACTACTATGGGTTGTTTAAAAGAGCTCCTATTCACTACTGCTCAAGTGTTTCATTAGCCCTTTTATAGCCAACCACGTGGTCAGGGATGTTTCTCTGCAGCTACGATTACACCAGCATCATCTCATATACCAGCTGTATCACTCATTCCTTGATGGCCTCTCACCTGGTGAATGGGCTCACCTTCTTTAATCCCAAGATGCATGTGGTTATTAGGGACATGGCTTATGGGAAAGGAACAAGGGAGAGAAGGAGCGAGAGAGAGTGAGCACAATTGCTTTGAAGCAGAGCTAAGGCTGCTTCTCTCTTTGCTACAAGCCTAGTAATTTCAAGACCCTCAAAATATTTACCTTGTGAGAAGAGAAAAGTATAGCTTTATATCCAAGAATCTCAGACAGAATTAAAATCAAATTCAATTCTCTTATTTCCAAGGCACAGAATCACCTTTGACAGTATGACTTGATCCTGGTTGGGGGCACTTCCACCTGCCCAGGTTTTGCTCCCAATTTGTCACTATGATCTCTTTTGCTTGGACTTCCTATCCTCCCCCTTTATTACTTTTGCAGATTTCTCAACCAGTTTTTCTGATAGGAAGAAGCTAGAGGATTTTCCTTACCCTGCAGGCTGCACTAAACAGAACTAACCGAAGGCTTTTGGAATATCTTTGAACTTTTTTTTTTTTTTCTGCAAAAACTATGCAAAATTATTCACAGCTGGTGGAGAAACTGGGCTGGTCATCCCAGTAAACACTATGTGTGCTAGCAGCTGTCATTTTTGTTTCCAGTGCTGCAGAGAGGGTGAGCAAACAAAGCTGCAGCCTCTTCAGACTATTTGCCTACTAGGTAATAGAGGAGTCATTAGCTCAAAAATATGTTGAGCTCCTCGAGCAGCAGCTGGTTGCAGTGAAACAGGGCATCCAGTTGGGGTTTGCTCTGATACTTGCCTACTCTGATGCGTCATTTTTTACAAGCACTGAGACAGAGAAGGTGCTACCAGAGGATGTAAGAAGCAGTGCGTGAGTCCTGCCAGGCTCACCATGCACCCAGCTACATTACCCGAGTTCCTTACTGAAAAGGTTTTAATAGCACTAACAAGAATTTGAGGTTCCTTCTTCCCTTCATGTTATAAAGGCTTATTCATGTACTGCAAAGCATCTTCCAGTTAAGGCTGCTGGGAAAGTGTGAGGATGAGTGTCAGAAATGGCAAGCACCACCTGGTTCCTCTGCCCCAGCACTTAGGGCAGCTGCCTTCACCTTCAGAGGCTTGCCACCCTCTTCTGCCACCAATGTTTGGTTCAAAAGGAGTCTCATGGCTTGGTAGTCCTTATTAGCAAATTAACTTCTTCACTTAAGCAACCAACCAATCCTCCACACTCCGATCAAGAGGAGGTCAGTTTATGCAAGCCACTTCCAGAGTTGTACCTGCTTTAACGCTAAAACTGAGCGCTCTAATACATTTCTTCTTCAAGACAACAGCTGTCATTTATGAAGCTGTGTTTTGCAAAACAACTTCTTTTTAAGCATCCGTTCAGAGCAGAGAGTGTCTGGTGAATATTTAACTATGGTACTCTTTTTTTTTTTTAATGGTATCCCAATGTATTGCTCTTCTAGGCAATCTTTTGTCTCCTACTTCCTTTAAAACTGAGATTTTATTTTCTCAGGATAGGCTTCTGTTGCCGCTGAAGTCAATGGCAAAATTTCCCAGAACTTGAAAGTGATTCCTTTTCTGTACATCTGTATAGCCCCTTTCTAGAACAGACTTTTTAAATGAATATACTGCATTTGACTGACTTTTCTGATTTAAACTCACATTTATTTTTTATTATGTGTCCAAAACAGTGTATGGTGATAAAAATATAGTCATCTAACTATTCTGGCATTGTTATTTCTCTTAAGAGCTCACAACTATGGCTCACGTGTACAAAAGATTTACCTTGCAAAAGAAAATCAAGTACAGTAACTAGGCAGAATCAACCCATGCTTTTATTTCCATTGCATATAAAAATTTCATATGAAGGTATTGATGTACAGTACTATCCCATAGGCTGTAAGAGAGGCTAAGAAACCAGTGAAAGAATCATCATGTGCAATGGTCACACAAGTTGCCACTCTCAAGACATACCCAAAGGAAAAATCAAATTAAAACAATAACAAAAAATTGTTCAGGATTTCTGTCGTTATAGTGTCCCTTTTATACTGTTTAAAACAAAAGCAATCAAATTCCTTTGGGCCAGGGCTGCTAAAATCTACAGTTTGTGTCAAAAAGGAGGCTCTGTTTTTCCTTGAAAAAGAATCTCTCCTTTCACTGAAGTTGCATGCTACAAGGGCTGGGCATCGCTGGGATGGAGAAGAGGTGTTGACCTCACACTGGCAAATTCACTGCTATCAGGAGTTCAGCGTGGTCGAGAGCAATGTGATATTCAAACTGCAAGGGATGCTCAGAGTCCAACTTGCAAAACTAATACTAGTGTTATTAAAAGATCTAAAGGTTTACCCTTCTCCTATAGACCTAGTGCATTATGCTATACACACCTGTACAAAGCCTTAGATACAGCTATACAAAATAAAAGCTTTGGCTGCTTATAACACTAATATTAGTGTTGGAAAGCATTTCTAAGATTAAGGTTGTCTTTTGTCCTACTTTATGGATTCTGCTTATACAGTGATAACTGGTGCTACTGAATAAAGAAGGAATATTAAGGATGATTGTAAAAGAACACAGTGTATAAATTAAACCCTTTAATTCCAATTATTTCATTTTCCAATATGCATTAGAATCAAATGCTTATTAGAGATGCTGGCTACATAGTACAATTTCCAACACTGTTTCAGTAAAGCTCAGTACTGAAATATAGCATTACTTTTTTTAGTAGCAAGTAATGGCTGCAATAATCCCTGATGATAGTCTGTAAAAAAGATAATCAGAAAAGCAATGCAATTATATTGCCAGAAGTCTGGAAAAGCTGGGACTTCCGGGGGGGGGGTCATGGGTGAAAGCTCATTGTAATATATATACTACCTTGTACTAGTAACCCCATCAGCCAGCAAATAAAAATATGGTAGAAATGCCCAGCCCTTGCCCCACAGCTACCTTACTTTCAAATGCAGCAAAACAGAAGAAAATATTGTTTAAAGTTAAGGCACAGCCCTGGGACCAAAGACCTGCAGCTTTTTTATTGATATATCTTAATGTATTTTATACTTTTCTTGAATCTTCCATAAACAAGCTCTAAGGTGACACAGAATATATTACAGGAGAAAAAAAATGTACAAGGAATATGTATACACAATAATCATTCTCTCACCAAGAGTTTCCAAATATAGCAACACCACCCTGACAAGGATGATGTTATAATAAGAACTGATAATTTACAATTAACATTACAGTATGTACATTACAATAAATACATGGTTGTAAACAGAGACAAACAAGACTGTATTACAGGTAAGGTCATTTGGTGAGAAAAATGCATGGCACAAATAAAATAAATAATGCATTTTAAAAGAACTGTCAAAGCTTTCTGTAAAATCCATACCATTCAAGTTTTTTAAACTTCTGAATGCTATTTGTTCTATCTATAGTCTTTCAGTATAGTTTTTTTAACAATGACACAAAACAGTTTTAAAATTCAAATACAGCATTACTGAGTACAGTAACTTGCAAGCTAAAGTGTACTCTTATAAGCAATGTGAATTTTCTTTTTTCCCCACTCAATATCCAACTCATTGCATTTTCTTATGGCAAAAATATTTAGAACACATAAAGCCACTTGTACATTGTATTGTTTCAAAGCAGTGTGCAATGTAAAAACACACTTTGGCAAAAGAGGAAAAAAAAAGATTGTACAGTGCATTATATCCCTGGCTCTAAGAAATTATATAGTTTTCTATTATTTGATTGTCCATATGTATGGGTGTATATCTTACAATATGGTGTTATTCTCTTTATTTACTTTCAATTAGTGCAGATACAAAACCTTTTCAGGTCCCTATTGATTATTTTGGAATTTCTATTGCTTTTCCATTATTAAGGTTTCAGGCACTCTTGGGGACTGAAAGGATTTTTAGGTGGGTTCAGGTTCAAGGAGAAATGAAGAAGAAAAAAAAGTCAAAAATTGAAAAAAAGATGAGGTCTCTTCATTCTCTTTCTTCCTTCAGTATCTTCTGTGCTAAGGCCCTGTGCCCTCCCAAGGTAGAGAAGTCTATGAGCTGGATATAGAAGAATGCAAAAGGCATTTAAAAGCTGAATTATTACTGAATAGGTTTTAAATAGGTTTTCATTCTAGATCTCGGACACTTAAATAGACACCTATTCATATCCACAAATTATTAAAAAAAAGAATACAAACAAGGGAAATAATGGCTGTGTCTGTTTTGTTTTGTTGAGAGATCATCTTGAACTTGCCATTTTACCAGAATGTTACAGA